GGCGTCCTTCTCTCAGCTCGTCAGCTGTCAACAGTTACTGCCACCACCATGACACTGTCGCGAGAAGGTGCTCTCTGACGGGGTTGGTGATGTCCCGGCGTGGCCATGGGTAGGCCTTCACCACGTCGGAACACCCCGGCTACACGTTGGTTACCAAGGTTACCAAGGTTGATCTAATACTAGTTCTGAACTAGTACAGTATTGGGTTATATAATACCATGTATATACATACATGTATATACATACATGTATATACATACGTATCACATGGACGGTTTGAAATGCTTCAGTGACTAACTGTAATTACTTTAAATAATTACTGTACATGTTGTTCTTCTTTGCTGCTGATGCTGCTGCTGCTGCTGCTGCTGCTGCTGCTGCTGCTGCTGCTGCTGTTGTTGTTGTTGTTGTTGTTGTTGTTGTTGTTGTTGTTGTTGTTGTTGTTGTTGTTGTTGTTGTTGTTGTTGCTACTGCTGTCGCTGTGGCTGTTGTTGGCTGAGGTTTTGGTTGTTGTCGTCGCCGGCCGCCATTATAGCTGTTGCAGTTGTTGTTGTTGTTGTCGTCGTCGTCGTGGTCGTTGTCGTCGTCGTAGGGCTGTGCACTGCAGTGTTTGCGACCGCCATCTTCAGTGGTGCGTCTGAGTACAAGCGGCATAATACAAGTGCAGTGCGGCCCGTCAACTACATGTATAAATACAATCATGTACATGCACTTCCCGTCAGCCAACAACCTGGTGCAAAGTCTTGCCAACGTAGTGGTGCTGGCGGGCCGAAGGACCTCAACTTCTCAAGGTGCATAAGCGCTCTCCCGCGGGATCCTCCCAACAGCCACCGAACTCTGTCGACTCTGCACCTCACCTACATGTGTTTTATTACTTCAACATCAACAATGAACATTGTTGCTCATTCCACTGCCCGCCATGTGACCGGTGCTTCCGATCAGGATCTGCTCATTCTGCTGGTGAATTTCAACGGCGCATAATGACTACCATCAGGAGTTTTAATACTTTTTTTTCTTTTTTCTTGAAGAAACCACTTTTACGGGCAGAAAACCGATACCGGACCATGTACCGGTATGAGCACACGAGTACGGGGTTCGAGGTACTAACATGAGAGTGGAGTACTCTTGGAACTGATGGTGATAAAATTGATGTTAATACGAACAGGGGCTGTAAACAATGAGAGGATATGGTTCCCTAAACTACATGTAAGTTGAGAACTGACCATTACATGCTGCATTCTGCCACTGCTAAACGTGATCGAAGGGCAGCCGTTGATTCTTGACGCTTTGTGCCGATGGCCTCTCAGGGCTGTGACTGCGGCATTGACCAGTGCAAAAGACAGCTGGGTGCGGATGTATGCCATGACGATAGAGAAAGGCTCGGACCTCTATTGGCCAACATGGATGCAATCCGAGCGTAGAGGTTGCCGGCTGCCTTGCCATGACCACCTGTAGTGCTGAGCACGACCGGGATGAATGATCCATGCTCTACCTCAACGACTCTTCTCTCATAGCTTCTTCTCTTTTCCTTTTCGTGCTTGCGGTATACTGCCGGGATTGATGGCTTCTGGTTTGAGGGGGCAATGGGTTGAAAACCCGGACATCAAGGAATGTCCTCTCAAACCGTCCACCATACAATCCACTGACTGCGGCATCAACGCGCGTTATCGTCGGTGATGGCAGATCTCAAGGGGAAGTGTTCCCCCGAGAGAGGCTGGAGATGGGGCTCGACAGCAACATCATAGGCAACTTCCTGGAGAAGGTGGGCCGTTATGTCCCGAATCTCATTGTGGCGAAGAGAGGGGTAGCCGCCAAGCGAGCAGGACAGGGCATGGGTGGTCGTGAACGACTTTCCACACGCACACGTTGTCGGGAGATCATCTGACGTCCAGCCATATCGGAGGCATAAGGAGTCTCGAAACGCTCCCTTGCATGTGCAACTTGAAGCCAAAAACTGCAAGTGGCTTGGATGTTAGCCAGCTTGAGTTGAGGCACCCTTCTCTGACGCGAGGTTCACGGCATATTGGATGTCTGAGTCCAGTTGCTGAAGCAGTACAGCCACCTGCTCATTGACCAGTTGCGTTGACTACTTTCGGACCTCTGATTTCAAGAGCTGCATAGCCACTCGAACTCCGTCGTTGTTGGACTCCTGTCTGAGGATCTTGTCGACAAGAGGTTGCGTGATGATGCTGGACTGACGGAATTGGTCCCCAAGATGAGTGGGGTTGATGAGACCCAATCCACCAAGTCTGCAGGACAATGACAGGTCACCAGGCGGACACCGGCCGGTAGGCGCAGGGATGAGCTGAAGACGTACGGCGTCCTCATGGGCTCGAACAGCGGACCTGTCGCCAGGATGGTGCGAGCGACAAATGACCATTCGTGCTTAACACCATTTGAGAAGGCCATGTTTTTTTAATTTAATTTTTATTATATTTTTCTATCACATTGCACATACAGAAGAAGGGGAGAGAAAACGAAGACAAACCAAAAAAAACAATGGGTGTGTTGGTGCTACATGAGCTGCGCTGGTGAGATGCAGTGGACTCCCCGACCAAGGGTCTCGGGATCGGCGTACCCAGCAAGCACCATGGGGGGGGGGGAATGGCGGAGAGAGAGAGAGAGAGAGAGAGAGAGAGAGAGAGAGAGAGAGAGAGAGAGAGAGAGAGAGAGAGAGAGAGAGAGAGAGAGAGAGAGAGAGAGAGAGAGAGAGAGAGAGAGAGAGAGAGAGAGAGAGAGAGAGAGAGAGAGAGAGAGAGAGAGAGAGAGAGAGAGAGAGAGAGAGAGAGAGAGAGAGAGAGAGAGACTCGGAGAGAGATGGGTAAGTGAGGGAAAGAGGTGGAGAGAGAGTAAGTATAAGTATAGAGAGAGAAAGAGTTCTGTGGCATATCGTCGTCGCTATGCCTATGATGCTACTTTTAGAAGAGGGTCAACATTATGATTTGCGTCCACTGATGGCAGGCCAGTGTGATACATGTGCATGGCTAGCACCAGTCATGAGCAGAGCACCAGTCACTTTGTTGCAGGTCACGGTATGCAGCAATCTTCAAGCTCTGCAGGTGTTTCCGGGCTGGCTGTGTGTCCAGAACTGCCTGTGGCAGTCTATTCCACACTGGCACAGAGCGCAGAAGGTAGTCAAGAGCTCGTGGCGAGAGATTCAGCTCAAGCTGGTGGGGATGGCGCTGTGCTTGGGCTGCTCGTGTGCGGTGTATGCCGCTTGTGGGTGGCTGAGGGCGTGCTGGGAATGCACACTGATCTCGTGGCTCCATTTCTGAACCTTTGTCCTTGGTTGACACGTAGGTTTTGCAGAACTCCTCAGTACCAAGGACGCGCCAAGATGACGAAACCCATCAGTGCGTATTTGGATCTCCGTGTCGGAGAACAGCTTCCTCGCCTCGGCCTCATGCCGCAGTGAGGCTTCACAAGAAGGACGGATTTCTTCGCGTTTGTGAAGTACAGTAACACGTACAATGGACCCCGATCCACAAGAATGGACCACCACTTCCTCAGGCGCTTAAAGTCATGCTCATCACCTGCACACACACACACACACACACACACACACACACACACACACACACACACACACACACACACACACACACACACACACACACACACACACACACACACACGATTCAGGTTGTGCGTGCTTCCCCTAGCTGCATCTCATGTTTGGCAAGTGGTCTTTGTAAAAGTAAAAAAATAAACACACACACACACACACACACACACACACACACACACACACTTGTACTTACTTGTTGCTCACTGCCAAAACTGTGAGTATACAATTGGCGATTTGTTAAGTTTGGCTTATCGTGTGGAAGCGAGAGCTATGCCATTCGAACCGATATCAAATTGTCTTTCTTCTGGACCCTACTTTCATCTTCCATGCGATCGTTCAAAGCAGGGAGTACTGTATTACATTGTAATAATATTGTACTACTCCCTGGTTCAAAGTACATGTACAACTGTCGGTGCTCGCCTAATCTAACTCCTGCTCATGTCTGGTCTTCATGTTCTTCTCTTTTTTTCCTGTCAACTACATGCCTCCTGATTGTTGCAATTCGTATTCCGACTCTTCATTCACTGTATTGTGCCGTGGTCGTCATGGTATGGACTACAGTTAAAAGTTTTGGAAGCCATCTGTCAGCGTCTGTATAAGCCTAGTTATTTGTGTGTACAGAAAGATAGTATAATTGGGTTGAAATTGTTCAAGTAAAGTGTCATGTTTGGTGCGGCCAAGCTTGGCCGTTAATGTTCTAGGTGTAATGTACTGCTGTTATTTGTTATCACTTTGTCCTTCCTTCTTTCTTTCTCTTCTTTGTTCATTTTTCAGGTGCAAGTTTAGTGTTAGTACACACATTCGTTATTGCTCTCGCTTTCATTGTTAAAATTCACACATGTAAATTTCACTGCTGTTGTTCTTAGTGTTATTTCTCTAACTTAGATTTTCTATAATAGTTCAATTTTGTTTTCAGTGCCCTTTAGCACAACGAAGATTACTGATGAGTGTTGTACGAAAACTTGTTTGAATCCCTTTTTTTCTCTACACAATTTCTTCACATTTTCATCGTTTTATTGCACATTGTCTCCACAGTTTTACATTACATGAATACAGTGTACACAAATGTCGATCCAGCTTGTATTACTGATTGTGGTTATCAAATTGTTGTCTCCTCGCCGTTTGTTCAAATAATAATAATAATAATAATAATAATAATAATAATAATAATAATAATAATTGCCTGCACACACAGCAACGACTGTGTGTCGCCACTGACGGCCCAATGTTATCGTAGTGTGTTCGTGGCAGGCATGTGGAGAATAGCTATGCACGCGTCCATGCCCGCTGCTGCACTTACAGTGACACCAAGAGTACACAATGTACTCTTGGTGACACCCAATGCTGGGAACATCATCAAGACATCATCACACACACACGCACCCCCCCCCCCCCCCCCTGCCACTCTACAATCCACGAAGACAACAAAAAGCAAACTATGTTACTTATGACATGAGAACTAGAAACAGAGACAATGGGAGGTAGATAGGAAATAGTGGAGTCATGCAGGAATCAGAAACACACACACACACGCGCACACCGTCTTGATAAAGATGCTAATAGTGGGTAAAGGTCCATGGGTCCCAAGATAAAACGGAGCAGCGTAAAATTTTCTCTCTGTTGCAAAAAAATATGACTTGCAATTCCCCTAAACAATACAGACACAACGTAAAGAGTCGAAACCTAGCCCAGGCTTCAGTAAACGAGACCTAGCAGCAAAAAATAAGGGCTCTGGTATTTGGATTGGTAAAAAAAAGGAGAAGAACAAGAATGAAATAATTTGGTCAGATTAAAAAAAAAAAAAAGTACACATTTCCCAAACCGAAATCGAATACAATGATTGGCAGCTCAACATGGCACATACACAGTATGCTTGTCAGTCAAGCACAGGGGCAGGCGCGCCCGTGACAGGAATTATCACCTCAAGTGTAAAATAATTATAAAAGGAATCGCTCTGCATGGGACGGAATCCAAGGCGCCCGCTCGACGGCGGACACCCACCTAAGGCGAACGCTCCAGCACCAGAAATGCCATGCACCACCGCCACCCGGGCGAAGAGACGCTAACGGTGGAATGCACAGCTAAGCAACAGCATGTAGTTATACGGGCGCGAACCTCGCTTGGTCAAGAACATGTCATGCTGCGATAGCCATAAAAGAGCACAGGTGTGTAAAAAAAAGAGTTATAGCGCAATCTGCACACAGTACTGCAAAGAGCAAGCTTTCTTCAGGGCTGCAGAAACTAGAAAAAGAGGCAGCATTTCAAACAAAAAAGAAACACGGCGCAGCAGCGATTACACCACACCGGACCGTAGCAACAGGCCCTGTGACTGTGAACATCACTCTACCTGAGCCACACGAACAGCAAGGTCGTCGCACTGAAACACTCATCGCGTCTAAGAATGAGCGGCGCTACACGAAGAGACGGGCGGAAAGCCAAGTAACCGGTTACAACGATGCAGGCCCACGCAAGCTGCGAGTTTGGCAGTGGCGGCGGTGCCAAGAAGGCACCGAAGACCTCCCGCCCATTCGCCGCACACTGCCATCTCCATGCTAGGATTGGCAACATAGCACTCCTATATCGCCATCAGTGCTAGAAACGGTCCAGACATAGCCAGCAGCGTAAGGACCACACACACACACACACAGAGCCGTAAATGGAAGACGACACAACCGACCAGGCACTTGCGTAGAGAAGAGTGCAGCTGGGAGGTGGTGCCTATGCTGGGCCATGGACATGGTGGCGAGTAAGATCAGAGCACAGTACATGTGTGTATCTCCATCAGGTGGGTGACGGTGGCGAACGTGACGCGGTACAAGTCTTGTCCAGTGCCAACACCAGCTTGCCATGTTGCCATGCCTACTCACCGCTCTCCAGGAGGCCGCGTGCGTACACTTGGCAGCACTGGAACAGAAATTGGTACTGGTCACAGTTCTGCACCAAGCCACCTCTGCAACAGCCACAGCCACAACGGCCACACCGGCAGCAACAACAACGACGACGACAACAACAACACCAACACCAACACCAACATTAACAACAACATCTTATTGGCGGTGGTGCCATCGTGAGAATAAAGAATTCAACAACATCTTATTGGCGATGGTGCCATCGTGAGAATAAAGAATTCAACAACAATAACAATAACAACAACGAGAGCACAAATACATTATGCGTAGCAGTCTATTTTAAAACTTAACCAGCGAGCTCAGCGTTATCTGATTCTAAACCGCCGAGGAATGGAGGAATAGGAGCAGGAGGAATTGGATCAGCTTGTCTGTAAAGTGATCCATTCTGGACTATGATAATACCGGTGTGTAACACTTGGCCGAAATCTTCACTGCGAGCATAAAGTAAAGGCAAGGGCGTCGCAGAAGGACTTCAATTCTGACCACCTGACTATGAAGCGCAAGAGACATTCTGCACATTGACATAGCAAGGCCAGCATGTTCTCCCTCGACACCTTGAACAAGGCACGGGGTAGCAAGTAGAATATTACAGGGACTGAACTAGCTCTGAATGGCTATGAAAAGATCTTCCGTACAACTATAACAAAGAGGACAGGTCGGTACACGTTCTGTGCAGTACTCTCTCTTACCTGTCTTTACGGAGCTGTGCCACAATGCCTTGTAAGTCTACTTTGTCATCATTCTATGAACACAGAGCGAATAAGCGAGATAGATAGATAGATAGATAGAGAGAGAGAGAGGCAACATCAGAACAAGATAACAAACGCAAAACGGTGTGTGCGTGTGTGCATGTACGCGCATGTACTCAACATTCATGGATTCCAAAAATCAAAGGAGAGAGAGAGAGAGGGGGGGGGGGGGACATTTCTAAACAAAGCTCTTGGCAACATCGCCTTACCTTGAGTTGCTGACTTGCAATATCAGCTGCACTGAAGCAACCCGTGCGACCAATGCCAGCACTGAATAGACAGACAGACAGACACACGCGTACATACACACAGAAACACACACACACACATGCACGTGCATACACAAAGAAATAGTCAGTGGAGCTTGTGGAGAGGGGTCAAATTGCTCACCTCACCGCTATAGGGCTGCTCTCAAACAGCACGCAGGCGTCTGTCTCTGTTGCTCCTGCTGAGCGTCTAGTGCTATCATCGGGAGAGAAGGGATCTGTCGCTTGCCAAGGAGTCAGAAGATTGGATGAACTTTTCCCGAGCCGTACCAGGACAGCTGCCGCAAGCGCACCCACCAGAAGTGAGCACTGCTGCAATGTCAAAGTTCATCTTCTTGCCGCCTTTAGCTTTTGCTGTTGAAATCTTGTTCTGTGTTTTTTCCTTCTGTTTTCACCCTGATGATGGTTGCCATGCCCGAAAATTTGGTCAACAGTTTAAATGACGTACGCAGCAAAGAGACTGTATTTTGAGTGGTTGAGTTGAGGTATCCCGATGTTGAAATCTGCTCGTCTATGCAACCAGAAGAAGCTGTTTGGCAAGGGCACAAAAATAATTAGCAGGTCCTTTCACTCAGGGTGCTAAGTTAGTTGCAAACTACATTATACACTGTAGTACACGTCTGGATGTTTATGGGACTTAGACTGCCTACTGGGTATCTGACTGCAGTGCTTGTAGATGCCAACTAGGCACACCATTCAATTGGTTACAAGATCTAGACTGTAAACTGGCCGTACGACTGCCTACTGAGTACAAAACACGCACGCACACACAGACACACACATGTGCACACATAACCACACACCCACACACACACGCGCACACACACACACACACGCACACAAATGCACGCAGCACACCAACCTGCAGTGTATGACCATGGGCGAGTCGGGTAGTGTTTGGTGTAGGCGAACCACAGCGACCAGGTCAAGCAGCTCAGTAGGACTACTGGGCACACCTTGATCAGGCCATACCAGGTACCAGTAGTGATGTAGTAAGCGTACTTCATCAGCACTCTGCAGCACAAAGTACACAGCACACAGTTACCACCTTATGAAAAGACGATGAATGTTTTTTCCGCAGCAAAACACACACATATACGGACCTTAGACACCCATCGCAGAAGGATACGACAGAGAGAACTATTATTACGCAATTCAGCCGACAATCTTGTCACCACCGTACTGGTAAGTGGAGATTCAAAGAATAAAAAGAGGAAAACACGACCTAACTGCATCAAAACACTTTCTCGGTGAGCACGCTTACTTCACGATGTGTCAACTCCATCGTCGTGTGTGCCACTGTGTTGTCCATGATGAGCTCTGAGCTGACGATACGCACGGTTACATTGGCGTACTGCGACGATGCACCGACATCATCCGCACACTGGCTGCCTTCACTTGCATCACCGCTGAAAGAGCCCGGCCAGTATCGCATGCACTTTGGCTGAGCAGTTGTGGTGCAGCGGGGAAAGAACAGATTGATACAAACACAAACACACACACCATACCACACACACACACACATACACACACATACACACACACACACACACACACACACACACACACACACCAAGTACACGATTAAGTCCGATCAATACTTCATTTTGCGTACGGGAAGCGCTTCGAAATGTGTATGGTGACGGTCAAGCGACGGACCAAACGAGTTGAGCTCAAGACAACCTTTTTTCCACGCCACGACAGGCGTTGGGACACGTTTCATATGCGCAGAATGAAGTATGAATCAGGCTTGACACAGCATCCACCACCCCGACAGCTACACACCCTCACGCACCCACACACAGAGGACCAAATAATCAAATTGCCAGGAGTCACACCGTGCGGAAAAAGACTATCATAACACACCCTGGACGTGTAGCCAATGAAAAGTGAAACAGCACCGGATGGTACCAGCGGGCGAATCATTTCAGAACAGCACCTTCATTGTGAGAGATGGGTCAAACTGAGGAGCCAACCACAACTGAGCCACACACAGATCATCATCACACTTCTGAAATAAGCAAGTTCTTCCAGGACGGCAAACGCACCTTTCCAGCTTCGTACATGAGGCTCATCATGACAATCAGCTCGGACTTGAACACCCACACCATTCGCCAGAAGTCATCCACTGTATTGGACAGCGGGCCTGGACACCGAAAGCACATCACACAACATTCCCATGAGCCCGCGAACCAATACTTGTGTGAGCGCAATCTCAAATCAGGTATCAAGTCAATAGGCAGGAAAAGCGTGAGCTCCCGCAAAGGGAGAACACACACAAATTCCCCTATTTAATATTGCCAAAGTTGCCACATGTACATTGTACCTCTACTTTGCAGTACAGAGACTTTTTTTGAGAATTCGGAAGGCCCACCGTAGCCGTATCATCTTTTAACCTCCAACCTGCAAGTTCCGCAACACACAAACAGCACTCGGCTACAACACGAAACTCGATTTCGTCCTAATTCACACCCAGACGGGCAGTATTGATGACGCCCGCCGAACTTTGACCAAGACGGGCATCATTGAAGATGCCCTCCGGGGTGAAAATTCGGATGAAATCGCACTGAGTCGCATGGTGTAGCCAAGGACTGTTTACGTGCTGCGGGCAACAGGGAGGTTGGGTAAAAAAATTGCACAGTCAGAAAAGGACATCAGGATAAAAACGACAACACTAAGCAAGACTTACCTTGCGTGGCAATATATTCATTTTTCTTTAAATTATAACCCTGCAAGAACACACACGGAAATGCAAACATCGAAACGTCAGGGTGCACCCAAATCAGGGCACACACACACACACACTAAAAAAACTAGGATGAAACAAGCGTAACAAAGCAATGCTCACCTTACAACGTACAATTCCAGTCACCCCACTGGCCTATCTATCTTTTAATTTGCTGGCCGAAAATCCTATATATAGGATTTGAAAATGTGTGCCTTTTATGCCGTTGTTATTGGTCATCACGACCAAAAATAACGACATAATGGTTTTCATGGAAGTTGTTAATATGTTTGAGGCATGAATGTTTACATTCTAGATTCATAGGGCGATACTATTAATTTTTTGATGAATACCCATTTTCAGCAATAATTGGAAATTTGAGCATAATTGTTCAGCTGCTGCCATGGAAAGGACTGAAGCAGTGAATGTGCAGAAGAACATTGCAGGTGTGGCACGGGGTGGTTTCATGACGACATATCGCACATGCCGTCATGAAACTACCAGTTTTAGGGATAAAACAAGGTCCAATAAATTCTCAAATCCTATATATAGGATTCGAAAAACAGGGCACAGGCCTTAGTAATATTGGGCAAGGAGATGAGCCTGAGATGGTAGTGTTCGAAAAAATTATCTTATTCAACACTCGATATCTTCTAAGACCTAGCAAGGAAGAATTGGTCACATACTTTTTGCTATTCTCATGCCACACCCATTTTTAGTTGAAAAATATGACCAAAATCCTATATAATATGGGATTTAGCAAATAAAGAGATACATCATTATCGCATTTCCGGGGTGGTAGCCACATTTCCGGGGTGGTAGCCGCATTTCCGGGGTCTAATCTGCACCCCCTTTTTCGGGCCCAAGTACTTGCAATGTTAATTTTTTGTCGACATTCGGAGTACAGGCCACACGTCAGCCTTTTTTGAATTTTTCGGCAACCGAACTAACTGTATAGTTGACACGCATGCAACAGTCTCTAAGTTCTTTCCTGCATGCAACAGTCTCTAAGTTCTTTCCTGCATGCAACAGTCTCTAAGTTCTTTTCTGCATGCATACAGAAAGCATTGCACTTGATACGAGCTCTCACCCCTAGCTACATAGGTACAAGCACCCTCCGGCAGACACCATTTACGCTCCAGAGTATGCTGGCTCCGCGTGCGTACGCTTGCTTCCAAGCACCGCCGTTCTTGGAGTGTTCCATTCATGCGCCTCACTTCTCTCTCTCTCTCCAGGGTTTTGGGTCACCCTCGGTTCTTCTTCTTCATGACTTGATAAGAATTGACAAACGGTGGTGTGTGTTCTTGAGTGTAGTGTAAGCATTAGCAAGTTCATACTTGGTCCGCGTCAGCAATATTGTCGCTTATCTTTCGACAATTTGAACTTAGACTTTGGACATCGACACGTGGACTTGAGACGATAAAACTTGGAATGATGGAAGGTAAGGTACAGAGTGATAACTGGCCACGAGGAATTTATTGTCAAAGGAAGGGTTCATACTTTTTTAGTCCTCCTCGTCGCTGCTCTCAGCGCTGGTGACAAATATGTTTTGCTCGGGATCGACACTCTCGCTTTCGCAAGCTCATCTCTCTTCCTCTCCGCTGCCTGGCTATTTTCTAAAGGGAAGTCGACCGTGACGGTCCCCTTCTCTATAGGACTTCACGTCGGCAGCACGACTGCCTGTGTGGTTCAAATCAGTCGCCGTTCTTTGCAAGATTTATTTTGAACGATGACGATGGCTACAGTACGAGGTGAATAGCAATTTCTGGACATGAAAATAAAATAGAGGCCCACTGGCTGTGTGTTTTACATTTTTCATATCTTTTTGTATCTATTGTATGGCCTAATCCTTCATCTTTCCAAATATGTGACAATTGCTCATGCTGTGATCCCAGAGACTTTATAGCAGGATGTTTTCGACAAGCCAATTTGTTGGCCTAAATTTCAGTGTATGGAATTCTGGACATGAAAGTAAAATAGCGTCAATAGGCATCCTATACTGCACCATTTTTCTATTTTTTCGATTGATTGACTGCAGTTGGCCTCTTCACACTTCCAGCCAACAGGTCCAAGACTATACAGCGTCTGAAGTGGAGTGCACATGGGGAAGCCAACGATTCGTCCATTACTTCTTATTTTACTCAAAATTCAAAAATTCTCATGCGACATAGTACCACAAAACTCGTTGAAATGCCTCCCAAGAAAAGGCTATCAACAAGGCACCGACACGAGGAGAAACTACAACAGCCCAGCTGTCAACTACAACAAGAAAAAACTTCATCAACCTGACTGACTTGACTCTACACGCGACGAAAAATTATTTTACGCGAAATGTCCAGAAGTGTACAATGTCCAGAAATAGCAATTCACCTCGTACTTGCAAATCTCCACGATGCGCTGGATACTCCGAGCGTTGAGCTTGAGGTGAGGGAACTGCGATCTCAGCTTGGTGAGCGATCCCGGAGGTGAGCAACCTCGGCCGCTTTGCAAAATGGAACTGATTCTGAGTAGCCGATTACTTTCTTGTGCGTCGCGCTGCTCTTGCCTGCGCAGTGTGACAAGATAATCTATTTTGATGCAGCGCTGTATCAATCGGAATCACCCACCCGTCGCTCTCGAAATTCATTCGAAATCTAGCTAGACCTTTCAGGTACTAGTAAACTAACTTACTAACCAAGATTGGGATGAAATGGGCTGCCAAGTGAACATTGGCGACATAAAAACAAAGCTGAAAGATAAGCGACAATATTGCTGACGCGGACCAAGTAGCTAGGTCATCCGCTATCGAAATCACTACGATTTGTGCCAAACTTATTGAACCAGGACTTAGCTCCGCGGGCAGGAAAGCGGAGCTGCTTTCTCGGTTGACGGAATCCGAACTCAGATCCGCCGAGTCTCCCGAGACCCACGCAGAGGCCGTCCAACAAACCGGCGAGAACAGAGAGACCCACAAACCCACCTCGCCTATCGCCTCCGTGTCTGCTGCGATTCCATCAGCCCTCAAAACTTTCCGCTGACCGACTGGACACACATTTGCAGGTCGAGAGATTTCGGAATCTACACCCACAGGCATCACTGCGTAGTCAACCACCTGTGGTCATTTGCCTACAAGGAGTTTGCCATTAGCCAGGGATATACTTCTCCCAAGCAATTGGACTGAGCGTTCAAAGCCAAAGACCATTACCGCACGTACGACGAGCTGAGCCGTTTCACCAATGGCTGCTTTGGCGAACTTCTGCGGCCGTGTGTACTCGTCCAGGAATCTGGCAGCAACACCCCTACAGCAGAGGGTTGCTTCGTTTGGTGCAAGCAGTTCACCAAAAACTGCATGTATTCCTGGCTGCTGGAGATGTGCACTCAGTACACCTTCCCGCTGTTCATGCTTCGGCGGGGAGCACGGCACAATCCAGGGTATTGCCCGCAATCAGTGCGCAGCCGTCCAGGTACAGGATCGCCGAGCTGTCACGCAGCAACATCTCCATGCGATGCGGGACTTCCTACCACACTCCGGTCTGTCATCAGTCAACCAAGCCACTACGTGGAGCGCCATCACTCTAATGTACTATTGGTTGCTCAAAGTTTGTTAGTATGCATCCACCGATCTACGCAAGGCGTTAGCTCTGGAACGCGTGTGCATACGCGATAACGTAGTGAGGCTGGCTATCCTGTTCTCTAAGACAACGCAGCTGGGAGAGAGCAGCAACGTGACGGTTGGCGCCACCAATGATAGAACCTGCTCTGTACACGCATTAGACAAGTATGCAAAACTGCATCCACAACTGGCAGGAGCATATTTCTGCCACCAGTCTGGCCAGCCTCTTCGCCCAGCAGATGTGAATAACCTACTCCGTAGGGCTCTACCCAGCCACATTCTACGTATCGACGCAGCTACTGCCATTGTATGGTATCCAAAGAGCCGGCCAATGGCGGGGCAGTGCCCACCCCCGGCACGTCCGTGTGACAAAATCTGACATGGAACCGATCGCCAGGGCATTGGCGAGATCAGACTAGTCGAACACTGGTGCACGGTCTCTGTGCGAGTACCTGCACTGCCCCCCCCCCCCCCCCCCCCTCCCTCACTACTCTCTGTATGAGTGACTGCACCACCCAGCACTACTCACTGTTTGACTGACTTCATGGCCCCTCTGGCATTAATCTCTGCATGAGAGACTGCACTGCCCTGCCCCCCCCCCCCCCCCCAACAACACTCGTGCGACTAACACACCGGAAAATATGGTATACTCTCAGGCCTGTTTAAGGGACCGTCCGGGGTTACCGATTGTTTTTACAAAACGAAAAGTTTTAGCATTTTTCAGCCCCCACCCACCCACCCACCTTTTCTGCAGGTAAAACGAATTCCAATAAAATACTGATGTCAATTTTTTCGACACCTAAAAGTAACTGGGCATTCTCCATCTACATTCAATAATTATTTTCAAAAACAAAACTCCAAACCCACCCACCCCTAAACGAAATCTTTTCGTTTTGAAAATATTATTGGTAACCTTGGGCGGCCCCTATATAAATAGCATGAAGAATTACAGTCATAAGACCTTGGATATGGAATAACCCACCAGTAAAGACTATAAAAGATATTCCTTGAAGGTATGTTGTGAAGTTGCCCTCAAGCAGCATGCCTCGCTGTTCAGTGACCGTCTTAGGCAAGCCATACTCAGCATTGTGTGCATGCCATACTCACTGATATAAAATTGGCATTGATATAGCTGGAGTTGGAGTCGTTGTCAATAACAGGTAACAGTACACGTGTTGAGCGAGCTATGCAACAACAGGACGAAGACCAACACGGAACAATGTTCAAACACAATATGTACACAAACAGCACGTCTTCTTAGCAAAGGCGATCGATCGCACCAAGGGAGCGCTCTTCACCTACTGATACGACTCGATCAAATACATACACTGAACAGTGTTGCCTCGACTCTGCCTCCTCGCACTGTGGCCCCAGTTACAGTGATGCAATGGAGTATTCCATGCTTATGGTAATGGCTGGGAATCAGTCAGAGCAAGCAGTTGATCTGCACACATGCTCACGCTTTGCTGCATGCATATGAATGGCGGGAAGATACAACAGGGCAAGAAAAGAAAAAAATCAGAAAAGCATGCATAGCATGGGTTGCAGTCACCAGTGGCCTATCACACGTGAACACACACGCACACACACACACACACCCGTCTTACTTGGAAATATTGTGGCATATCTGTTTTTAGGTCCGGAACATGCCACCGCTGATTCAGCAGTGTGCATTGGGATATTCTGCAGCACAGGATACAACACAAGATAAAGCCAGGTTCAGTACAAGTATAAAAACAGATTCTCCATCACCGAAACCACGGTTGTTGTTTGAAAAGGCGGCGAGGTGACAACAGTTTAAGGATTGCAATAAACAGAACCAGCTGAAGCGTCATTTCACGAAGGTTTTACTTGTATTACCGTATTATCTCCATTATAAGTCCAGCGCTTATATTTGTTCAACCAGTCCGGACCCCGGGCTTATATCGGAGACTGGGCTTCTACTAGAGACTGGGCTTATAATTTTTCAACCAACTGGTACATGAACATTGCCTATTACACTCAAACGCCTCTTATCCGGACGCCTCAGATACGGGCACGTCTCTCTACCGGGCACCTTCAGCTTGAGTTTCTATGGCAAAAATGTTTTGAATTTTGGGCGTTTGAGCTTTTTTCGTATGCGCAAGTGCTTATTTGTCCCTGCCAACCTGTGAAATCCACACATTCTTATCAACGGATTCTTTCTGTAGCCTGAACATGTGCAATACGTGCCAAATAAACTTCTTCAAAAAATGATATGATACATGGTAGATGAGTTATCCTGAGATACGGGCAAATCTGAGATAAGGGCAGTGCCCGGTCCCAAGGTGCCCGGATAAGAGACGTCCGAGTGTATTTTCATTATATCAGTAGCAGAAAGTTTCCCAGCAGGTACCGGGACTGCAGTTTTGTGCTTCCTGGTACACTGAGTCTGATCTCGAGGATGAGACAGACTTTTACCACAGCATGTGTTTATGTGATACTGTGTGACGTCAAATAGGCACGAACATGATCCATACGGTTTTCCATTATAAGCCCTGCGCGCCTTATATTGGAGACTGCGCTTATATATCTTCGAAGCCCTCTTGGAGTGCGCTTACAATAGAGACTGGGCGTCTACAAGAGATAATACGGTAAACTGTTCAGGGGCGTAGGAAGGTATTTTAGTGTGGCACGGTCAGCCATCTGAAGTACAATTTAGTCGAGGGGGAGTGGTGGCTGAGCCGAAAATTTTGGAATTTTAGATCCCAGATCAGTGTGTTTTGTTGATTCACGGGGTATCTGGGGCAAAAGGTGGTACGGTCAATATCGTAGTGACCGTACTGTGTGCGACGCCCCTGCTATTGTCACCTCGCCACCTTTTCAAATAAATATTTCAAATCGAGGTGCACAGGGGACTCGGGTAGATTCACTGAATGTCGTCCTGAAGGAACGTTTCTGTTCGTGACATCTCAATAAACCTTCGTGAAATGACGCTTCAGCTGATTCTGTTTATTGCAATCCTTTAATACAGGGTTGTTATCTATGAAATTTTCAACATCAAACAAAAAAATACAGTTGTGATTATACTGCATTTTTGAGTTGCTAATTTAGGAAACCATGATCGGTAGGAGAACTGACAGGGAGTCAAAGTAAGCGTCTCTGGCATTGACAAACAACAGAAGTATGTGCCAAGGAAACAGTTTTTCTACAGCGTTTTCCTTTGATCTCCCCCTCAGCCAGCCCGTGTTTCAATTTCTTGCATCAGAGCTCACAATAATGTCACATGCATGACTTATCATGACAAAGTTGAAAAAACCAAAACCACACACATCTTTCTCTCTGAGACACACACATACATACTGTATACGCTCTCTCTCTCTCTCTCTCTCTCTCTCTCTCTCTCTCTCTCTCTCTCTCTCTCTCTCTCTCTCTCTCTCTCCCCCCCCCCCCCCCCCCTCTCTCCCTCACAAAACACACACACACTCTCACAAACACACACACTCTCTCTCTCACAAACACACACACACACACACGCACGCACGATCTCTCTCACACACACACACACACACACACACACACACACACACACACACACACACAAGTGTACTTGTTCAGTGTGTGTGTGTGTGTGTGTGTGTGTGTGTGTGTGTGTGTGTGTGTGTGTGTGTGTGTGTGTGTGTGTGTGTGTGTGTGTGTGTGTGTGTGTGTGTGTGTGTGTGTGTGTGTGTGTGTGTGTGTGTGTGTGTGTGTGTGTGTGTGTGTGTGTGTGTGTGTGTGTGTTCATCAGCCTTGCAAGCTGTTGAATGGTGTAATCCCAGCACAAGTAAGTTGCCATGTCTAACATAGCTGTTCGCCATCATCGCTCCCGCGATGGGCATGTCTGAGGTATGAGTTGTGTGTGTGTGTGTGTGTGTGTGTGTGTGTGTGTGTGTGTGTGTGTGTGTGTGTGTGTGTGTGTGTGTGTGTGTGTGTGTGTGTGTACATGCACAAATCCAGTCAGCCCACATCTTACCCAGAATTCCTCATTCAAAGCATCCTTGCTGGTGATGGCATCCACAGCCAAGAGTTCCTCTTTCGTGCGCGGGCAAGAGACTTTCTCCAGAGCTCTGCAAAACGGAATAAAGAAGGAGAAACTTAGACAGGTTGCCAAGCAAATGCCCCAACACCTTTCTCACTGATGTAAAGTATGGTGGCCGTTGTGTAAGCAAGACGTATCGGTCAGGAGCACAATGCGGTGGTGGCAATTTACTAAATGGTCGAGAGCTCAGCCACGACATCCCAAACATTACCATACTTTCGTCAATGAACAAAAGCTCAGTTTTTTTCGGAACAAATATCAAGGCAACAGTATCTTAAGTTAAGGCTAGCATGCAACACTAACACTCTGCAATCCAAACGCCGGTACTGGCGTGAAAAGGGAAAAGGGAAACTGCACCCTTGGTTTCCTGCACATGTGTACAGTCCATTTCAAAACTATAGACGCGTAGACCTACCTAGGCAAAAACCGTTATGCCAGCATCTATACCACATAAAATCTGTGATCACTTTGTGCATAATTTTTTCCAAATTGGGCGTCTGTTATCCAATCGTTTAGAAACTATAATCAGAGTAATTGTGGAGCGGACCTGAGCAATATTCCGAAAACTATTCCCAGAAAGTTCCAGCCAAATTTGAAATATTTCAAAAACACTGCGCGTCTATAGTTTTGAAATGGACTGTAGTATACGTACGATACATGCACACAAAGACACGGGAAACGCCTGGCTCCTCCAGCTGCACAGGGACCCACATGTCCAGTCCTGGCTAGAGAAATCCAACCTCATGAATAAAGTAGCGCCACGTTCGAGCGCACAGACCAGTATGTGTGGGTGCTGGGGGCTGCGTAACGACCTGTCGGACCACCGCTATTTTATTCAGGTCAAAATTCTCTGGCCAGGACTTCACATCCATTCAGCTTCACTAGTCTTGTTTCTGCGTGTAGGTACGTAGCCACACTGTGCTACGTTATAAAAGGGATGTGCCCAAGTACGAGACTGTGCAGAGCAAGCAAAGCCATGCGTGCATAGACCGCAGGTGGAGGTGCGACACCACAGATCAGACTTCCCCTGCCACACATGTACACATAGAGCGAGGACAGTACACTTACTTCAAGTCCTTACTCTCCTGGGTCTCAGTTTCATCAGATAGTGGGTTAAGGCTGAGGCTGAGGGTTGGTCTGCTCATAATAACAAGTACACAAAAGAAGACGCATAGTATTCAATGGTCGAGGGGGGGGGGGGGGGGGGGGGGCAGCAACACAACATCTAATCATCGTTCAAAGGGCTAACCATTCACACTCTGATTTCCAGGCATGCACATCATGGACAGTGGTGATAGGGTAAGTTATGCTGCTAGGCAAGTAGCTCCTGGAGTCCTCGCTCTGAAATCGCAACACACAACAATGCACTGCTCAGGTGGCCTGTCTCGCCAGCCAGCCAGCCTGGACTCACTTCTACATACAGGCAGGCCAGAGGCGAAAAACTCACCTTTGCTTCTTGGAGCCAAAACGAGGCACTACCCTGGGAGCTGAAGACTTCACTTGGAAAGATTTGGAGCGGCTGACGGGGGATGCTGCGGTTGCTATGGGCGATGGCGATTCAAGCGGCTCGGTCGAGGAACTCCTTACGACAGGCTCAAAGCGGCGCGGGAAGTCACACATAAAACTACCACTAGCCATGGGAGAGTGTAACGTATCCAATGCCCCTGGCTCACTCTTCGTCGTCCGTGCACTAGGACCGGGCAGACTGGCAGCCAAGTCCAACGCCGGACCGTCCACTGAGGCAGACGTGACGAGCGCGGAGTCATCCACGACCGGCGACTGCAGCTTGGACGGCGGAGAGCTGTGGTGCACGCTGGACGAAGTGTCACCGGCCAGATCCAACGCCTCGTGACTGACATGCGACGATGAGCGCTGCTCCGAAGAAAGGCTCAACCTCTGTACGCTATAGCCTTCACCGCTGGATGCGTGCTGCTGCTGCTGCTGTGGGC